TACAACCCTAATTCTAACTATGATACGAGAAGGAAAAGAAAACAATTCAATCCGTAAACTAAGTCGGCTAATACAGAACCCCCAGCTGACTAAAACCCTAATTAATTAACCATCCTAACTTAATCCAATTAATGCCATTTATTCCATTTAAATTAACCATTGCACTAATTAAATTCAATTAAACAAATAATTAACAATAAAACAAATAATTATACAATTAATCAAATCGTAACCAATTAACAAACAAATACAATTTATTAAACAAACAAAGATAATTAAATACCCAATTAATTCAAATAACAAGCAAATAAATAATAAAAGTATTAAAAATGCAATTAAATAATTAATTAAAATACCAGGACTGTCCTTTTAAAATTAGGGGTACTACAAGATGCAAGGGTGTTTACGCCAAGGCAAAAGACGGGGGACACAGAAGAGCAAATGTTTGTTTTGGTGGTGCTACCGGGCTATTTGCCTGGGCGATTCGAGCTGGGCGATGTGCTTAAGGTGTATAATCCTAGGCATTTACCAAGGCAATTTGGGTATGATCAAGGTGTCCCGAGCTACTGTGATTTGGTAGAGAAGTATGAAGAGTTGGAGAAGGCCTTGTTTCGATTCAGTGTGCTATATGACTTGGCCGAGAAAGAAATTGGCTGTATTGTGATTCCCTCGCAAAATAGTCAAAGTGACATTACAGGAGACTACAGGCGATTTTGGGTGGACTACTTGGGGGCATTCAGGATGTTCTGTTTACAGATCCCTTGTCCTTGTGCCCCATTGCCTGTATACAAAGATGATGTGTCTCTTCGCATACCTAGGCCAGGGGTGCAAGGCCATAGGTCGATAATGGCTTCATTAGTCTCAGAGATGGGTGATGTAGCGTATGACGCCGTACCCGAAGCATATGTGCCTGCCACACCCGTCGAGCCAAGGGTGAACAGGGGGTGGCAAGGGGGCTCCCTCGAGGCCGACGGAAAAAAATAAAGTGTCAGACGATAGTGAAGAGCCTATTGTCAATCTAAGGCGACGAAAGCGGAAAGCTTCAGTAATCAACCTATCGGAGGACAGAGAATCGTCGAAGGAATCGGAATGAGTGGTGGAGCTGAGTGATGATGATTTGCCAAGTGTGGATGATGTGGCAGAATCGAGGGGGGAAGATGTGTCAAGTTCAGGGGAGAAGTTCAGTGGGGGCATTGGGGCAATGTTAGCTGTTGGAGGTTCGAAGAGAGAGATTATGAGGCGGTTGATGACAGCTAAGAGCTCGTTTCCTCCAATCCATACGGTTATGGGTAAGTATGATGGAGCAATAATGTTTCTATTTCCTTTTAATTTATGTGAAACTTATGACTTGATTTGGGGGTTGCAAGGAAGACACCAATAACAATCCTGCGTATGCCACGAGTAGAGGAGCCTTCGGTGCCGAGAGCACTGATGCCAATGCTACTGCTAGAGTACCGTGCGAGTGAGGCTCCGAATGTACAGGAAGAAATGATAGAAGAACAGACCTCAGCCGACACGGTGAAATTGGAGGATATAGAAGTGGAGATGCATCATGGGCCGCACGAGGTAGAGGGGATGCAACCACTTTCCTCGTTGGAAGGCTCGAACAATGCAGTAAATAGGCGAGCCTCGGAAGAGGAGGTTGAAAGTGGGGTAAACAATGCGACCGAGGGGGCACATAATGTTCTTGACCCCCTTGGAAAGGTTGGTCGAGAAGGGAAGGTGATGCCTCGCGCAAACAGTCAGCGAGAGATCGGAGAGACCCACGAGGCAGTGACGATCGTAGAAGAAAGAGTAGAGGTTACTTGGCGGGGAGTGGTGATTGGCACTAATTATGTCCCGTTGCTAGAGGCAGCTACGTGAGCGCACCCAGTGACCGTAGAGACTATCGGAGGAAAACATCTAGTATTTCGACGTTTTGGCTATGAAGCTTTAGGACGAGTGCTCGAAATATTTGGTGTGGTGGCACGGGGAGGGGGATCTGAGGACCTGATACAGGAAGCACGTGAGTTAATCGAGCTGCTAAGAGACAGGGTGGAAACACAGTGGCTGAACGTAAGGGTTGAGGCGTGCTAACGAGTGGTGGGACGAGCCTTCCTAGCCTAACAGATGGCAGTTAGATGCGCGAATTGTAAGGGACAGGCATATGATGGGAGAGATCCAGGCTCGCCTGGCGATGGCAGAGTGTGATAACCCTCGGATCCAAGACATGGGTTGATCAGGCCCAGGCCCAAACCCGAGGGAATATCAAACAATTGATATGTTAAAACGAACATGGAATACAAAATAATGTAATAAGAAATAAAAATAATAAGCTGAAAGAAACTAGAATAAAAATCCTCAAAACATAATTATTTAAATTCATTAATCCAAAACTCCATAAGTTTACAACTCGGGAATCCATCCAGTGGACCCTTTATTAAAACCCAATAGAAACTACAATATCTGAAATAGAATCTAAAGCTAAACATAGAAAAGATTCCTACGTAGTCGGAGGAATGAATATCTGTATCTGCTCTGCACGTCCAAGCTCTAACCCTGGAATTGACGGACACCTGAAAAATAAAGAGTGGGTCAGGCCCACATGCAAGTCCTATCCTACTACGATCCAAACAGTAATCCGATACGCAGATACATCCTAGATAGCTCAACAATATCTATCTAGTCCATACATATATATATCCACACTAAGGGACATTCACTAGACTACAGTAGGGGTCTCAACCTGAATAGAAGGCAACATGTGAAAACGCACCCATAGGTGGGCATGAGTACCTAAACCTAACAGGGTACACCTCAACTTACTTTAACCAGTTCCGCATCCACTACATATACGCACCCTAACCAACGAGTCTGAGACTCAAGCTCATCTCGTGGTACCATAAACATATATATAAAGTCCGTCCAAAACCAGGGTATGTCATTCAAATACTTATTGAGATGACATACAATATACAAATTAGTTAGTCACTCAACTTATTCAGTTGATATGACCATCCATTACTTCAAGAAGCCATTCAACTTAGTCGCAGTTGATCTGACTCAATCACAATTTGGATTCAATATTTTTCAATCCATCCTTTAATCCATTAGGGTAGGTTTAAGCGTTTTGAGCTAAACCGTCCCTAGTATGTCACCGTCCCATACCGGTGCATACAATCCTCTATATCCATGTAAATTATAAAACATAATAATAAGCTAGTAATTTATAATTCAAACCATTATCCATATCATTGCAAAAAAGTATTTAAAATTTCAGCAATATAAATCCCAACATTAATTCATGTAATTGCACTAGAGAATTTGATATTCCAACAATTAACCTCCAAAGCATGTATAGTTTAAACCTTAAACATAAAATGATCTATCATGCATCCAATATAAGATTTATAATCTTATTATAATTCATTATGTTACCCAAAATTTAACTAAGCAATTTGATTCTTTCCATCCATTATCAGTATGCTAAGTTGTATGCTTTTATATTGATTCATCCTTTAAATAATTTATAAAAATTATTTACATATCCGTATTGTCAAATCTCCTAAGCATAAGAAGTGTATTATGCATTTTAGAACCATCCAAAGTCCATTTAACCCATTTAGATTACTTAAAATAGGTTCCAAAAGAATTCTGGGCAATTAAAACGAGGATCCAGGTCGCGGTCCAACTGAGCCGGCTGAACTGCCAACTCAGTCAGCTGAGTTCCAAACTCAGTCGGCTGAGTCCCCAACTCAGTCGGCTGAGTTTGTGCTGACATCGTCTTCTTCGTCTGTTCTCCGTCTGTTTAGCCTCTGTAAACCCTAAAACTCCATTGTCAAGGCCTCTAAGCTTTAACCTAAGCCCCATACGTCCATACTAAGTTATTTTAGATGTTTTTACATGCAAAGATTTAAACTTAAACATAAATTATGCATCAAGAATTTCAGAATCATTCAAAATAAGAAATTGAAACTAAAAACATATACTCTATGTTTTAATCTAGTTAAGCATGCATGACTAATCAATTTTAGCATGTATTAATCCCCTGGAGTCTAGCTAGGCATGCACAGAACACAGATTAAAGGGAAAGAATAGAACAGAGACTTACCTTCGAGACTTTGGTTTTAAATCTCTAACTGTCGTCTCTGAATTTTCCATCAACGTCCTAGGCTGCCGTTCACCACCTTCGGTGCTCTTGGTTCAACCCAGAAGCACTCCACTCCTTCCTCCTTAAGCCTCCCTGTAAATTACTCAAGCTCCCTCTCTGTTTCTCTGCCCTCATAACTCTCTGTTTCTCTCTGTTACGTGAATAGGATTAACAAAACCCTTGGCAGACGTATACTTATGTATTTATAGGTTTTATTTGAAACCCTAAATTAAATCCTAAACCAACTACAAGTCAGCTCAACGTGAATCCTAAAAGAAAACTAAAACCCTAATACTAATATACATGGAAACCAAAACACAGACCACAGTTAAATTAAAAAAAAAACTATATATTTAAATAGCCACATAAGCACATAATTAAACCAGTACTAACTAAACAAATGTCAGTTAAATAAAATTAAAAAAAAAAAACAAATAAAACAAACAAATAAATCACACAACTCCATTAAATTAATAAATAAACAATTAAATAAATATAAACGCAATTTAAACAATTTATAAAATACCAGAACTATCCTTTTGAAATTAGGGGTATTACACAGAGCAACAACGGGCTCTTGTACAGGAGACATACAACGAGCTTGGTGGTGACGAATCAATTTTGCTATCTTATGAGTAAGGTAGTGGTAGTAAATAAAAGGCCAGTAGGTCCATGATGTACTATATTTTGTTATTAGTGAATTGAATGAAAGTTGAGCAGTTATGATCACAGAAATAAGAAATGTGATGGCAAATATGCATGTATTATTAGGGATATGGAACTAGCTCTAAATACAGAAAAGAACTAACTGTGATAAAACTTTAACCAACTAGAATTTATAGGGTCAGCCTTGCACCCATCACCCTGCAGTCTACAGTAGCCATTGGGTTGGACCTCGATGACAACATAGGGCCCTTCCCATTTTGGGGGTGAATTTTGGGGCGGAAGTGTTGTGCATGATGTGTTTAGCAGCTTTAAGAATAAGGTCGCCTACCTGAAAAGTACGAGGCCGTACATGCTTGTTGTAAGCTTTGGCCAAGGTGTGTTGATAAACCTTGAGATGTTGTCTTGCTAATTCTCGACGTTCATCCAAGGCCTTGAGATGAGTGAAGTGATCAACTTTACTCCGGGTTGCTAAAGCATCAGCAGGAATGGCGATTTCGATCGGGAGGATAGCTTCTGTGCCATATAGGAGGGAAAAAGGAGTTTGACCTGTGGCGTGCTTCCTTGAGGTGCGATGGGCCCAAATAGCTAATGGCAGCTGATCGACCCAATTAGACTTGTACTCGGTGATCGTGCGACTGAATATTTTGAGGAGAGATTTGTTGGTTGTTTCGGCTTGACCATTGCCTTTGGGATAGTAAGCAGAAAATTGGCGCTGCGTGATGTTATATCGTTGAAGGAGCTGAGCAACCCGAGAATTGACAAAGGGGGTGCCATTGTCCGATAGGATGATCGCTGGGATTCCAAAGCGGCAAATGATGTGTTCACGAATAAAGGCTGTAACTACGATGCCTGTAGTGTGTCACAAGGGGACGGCTTCAACCCATTTGGAGAATAAATCCTTAGCCGTGAGGATCCAATGCATTTGATGAATCGTTGGGTTGATTAGGCCAATGAGATCCAGACCCCAAGTGTGAAAGGGCCAAGGGGCGGTAAGAGGGTGAAGCACAGTGGGCGGAGTATGGATCTGATGATAATGGTATTGACACGGCTTGCAGTGTTGAACAAGTGTCTTGGCATCAGGCTCCATGGTTGGCCAATAGAGCCCTTTGTGGACCAAGTGTTGAAATAATTTGTAGGCACCCTGATGCTCAAAGGAGTGGGCTTGCTGAAGTGCCTCGTGAATCTCGGCGCCAACAAGGCATCGTAAGAAATTCCCTGCACAAGAGAGGCGAAACAATCGGCCGTCACAAATTTGGAACCATGGTGCTTAGTGTTGGAGTTTGGCGGCCAAGGCTGGGTCATCCGGGCGATGGCTGTATTGAAAGTAGCGGATAAAGGGAATCCGCCAGTCAATCGGTTCGAGCTCGAGGAGCTTGGCTGTATCAGGGCATTTCTGGTAGGCGACATATGCGTGTTGCAACGCAGCCGCCTAACTTGACATTTGAGGCCAGTAATAGCCTTGGCGCTGAAGCCATCGATAAAGGGCAATATCGGTTGTGGCACAGTGCTGCTGATGAACTTGGTGGATAACTTCATTGGCTTCTGTATCCTCTAGACATCGACTGAGGATGCCAGAGGGGGATTGATGATAGAGGACTCCTTGGATCAGATGGAAGCTTTTGAGCTGAGCAAAAGGCAAGGAACCCGAAAAGTCTGCATTTGCTTTACAATTGGGCTGTGCCAATCAGTGAAGTCTTCAGGAGGAAGAAGACTGGCGATGGTAGGTTGTGTTTGCTTATGAACGGTGATCTGTTCAGTATCGCTGGAGATGTCAAGTTTTGATGCGAGCATGGCAAGAGCGTCAGGGTATCAATTGGCCGATCGAGGGATATGAGCCAGGCGAATGGAGGTGAACCGAGAGAAAAACTTTTGAATGATCGTGCGGTACGAAGCCAAAGAGGGCTCACGGATTATAAATTCACTAGAAGCCTATTTGACAATTAACTTTGAATCACCATCGATGCATAATCGAGAGATTTGCCTGTCAAGTGCTGTTAAGAGTCTGAGGATGAGTACTTCATATACAGCTTCATTGTTGGTGCATTTAAAGTCAAGTTTGACAGCAACAGTAGAAATGAGGGTTGGGCAGGAGAACACGATACCTGCGCCTCCTCCCCTTGCTGTGGAAGAACCATCGAAAGACAAGTGCCATTCCTGGGGTTGCTCAAGAGAGGCGACCTGTAGATCATCGAGGGGCAACTGTTCATCCACAGGTTCGTGAGCTTCATTGGGGAATTGAGCAAACAAGTCTGCGAGGGCTTGACTTTTGATGGCTTTTGGCTGCTGGCAGGTGATGTCAAATTCTGCTAGGGAGAAGAACCATCGTATGGCCTTGCCTGTAAGCATAGGTTTGGAGAGGAGGTGCCTATAGGGATCGCATTTAGTGAGGAGAATGATCCAATGGGCGAGAAAGTAGTGCCGGAACTTATGCGCAGTGAAAACCATAGTGAGGCAATGTTTTTCAATAAGGGAGTACCATTCTTTAGCATCACGAATCAGGCAACTAATGTAATAGACTGGGCGCTCTTGAGTATCGACCTCTTGTGCGAGCAGTGCCCCTATGGATCGAGGTGTCGAGGTAATATACAGGATGAGGGGCTGGTCTTTTTGTGGAGCATGTATGATCTATGGGGATAGCAATACGTGCTTGATCCTCTCGAAGGCCACCTGATGAATATCTGTCCAAGAGAACTTCGTTTTCCCTTTAACAAGGGTGCTAAAGGCATAGGTTGCCTCAGCGAGGGCTGGCAAGAATCGACGAAGATAAGAAACTTTGCCCAAAAAGCTTTTCAGCTATTTAGAAGTCGTTGGAGAAGGCATGTCAAGAATTGCTTTGGACTTAGCTGGATCAACTTCAATACCCTGGCGAGTGACCATAAAACCTAAGAATTTGCCATGGTTGATACCAAAAGCACATTTGAGGGGATTCATTTTGAGATTATACTGGCAACAGCGCTCAAACACTTGGCGTAAGTCATGGAGATGGTTGGTTACCTGTTTGGACTTAATGACCAAATCGTCCACATAGTCTTCAAGATTGTGATGAAGTAAATCATGAAAGATAGCATTCATGGCGCGATGGTAGGTGGCACCTGCATTTTTTAAACCGAAAGGCATGATAGTATAGTGGAAATTACCAAGAGGAGTTCGAAAGGCTATTTTTTCTGCATCACCCTCGGCCATCTGGATTTTATTGTAACCACTAAAGCCATCCATAAAAGAGAACATTTCATGGCCTACAATGCCATCGACCAGAGTGTCGATAATGGGCAAGGGAAAGTCATATTTTGGGCAGGCCTTGTTAAGATCCCTGAAATCGACACACACCCTGATTTGGCCATTTTTTTTCTGCACAGGGACAATATTGGCCAACCATGTGGGGTGAATGATAGGCTTGATGAAACCAGCTGCCAACAACTTCTGGACCTCATCTTTGATTTGTAGCTCAAGTTCTGGCCGAAAAGGTCATGAGCCTTATTTAACCGAGAGAATGTTGGATAAGACATTAAGGTGGTGGGAGACCAATGAAGGGTGAAGCCCCGGCATCTCGTTGTACGTCCATGCAAATACATCGCGAAATTCCTAGAAGAGAGAGACAAGGTGAGTGCGATCTTGAGAGCTGAGTGTACCCGAAAGGAACGTAGTGCGAGGCTGCTCATTGGGATAGGCAAGTTTAATTTCAACAAGGTCTGGCAATGGTGCTTTCTCAAGGATCCGAGGCTGATATTCTGGGGAGTCAGTAAAGTGAACCTCTGCTAACCCCGAGCACCATCATAAACGGTAGATGACACGACCGTTGGGGAGGCAAACACGTTTGCATTCACGTGTGGCATCGCTGGTCTGAACTGGAGAGGGTGGGTGAAAAATACACTTCTGGGCGTCAGCCCAGGTAGGTAAGGGGGTATTGATAATGGTCGCATCGCAGTCTTGTGCCCAATCGTTAAAGTCATTGAAGAACAATACATCAGTATAATGAGCCTCAAAGGTGGCAAAGGGGCGATCTGAACATGGGACCGTGACAACTTGTTGTTCCAAATTCCTTTGAAACATTGATGATAAATGGAAGGGACAATGCCAAAGCGGTGCATCCATGCGCACCCCAGAAGGATATGATAAGAGGTTTCGCTATCAATAACATGGAACTTCGTGGAGGCTTGGAATTTGTTAATAGCTAGATCAACATTAACATAGCCCATCTAGCGGCGAAGATCATTACCGAATCCTGCAACCTCGATTGGCTCTTTGATCAGACGATCCTCGAAGATGCCTGTTTTGTGAAAGGTGGAAAGGGGCATGACATTGATGGAGGAACCATTGTCAAGAAAAGCACGCTTGAACTCCACCCCCTTGATGGAAGCCAGCATATACAGTAGTCGATTTTGGGCACCTGGACTCTGCTTGTCATCATCAGAGAAGGATAGGGTCCTCTTTAGTGCAGGGGAGTTAGGTTTGGCAGAGGCGACCAAAGGACACACATCCATTTCTGAAGAAAGTTCTGCCTCACGGCCTGAATTCGATTTTGTGAGCTCATCATAGCAGGTGATAATAGCCACATGATGATCAGGGTATGGGAATCTACGAACATCCTTAGGAGGGGTAACTTCAAGATCACCAGTTGCCATTCGTTGGTAAAAAAGGCAACGCAGCCCCAGCAATTAATAGTGGGATGAGTAACACGTACTCTGGTGGTAAACGCAGAAATCAATATTAGTTCTATCTGCTGGGGTGGGCTCGCAAAGCGGAATGGGTAAAACAATGACACCATCCTTGCCCCATTAGGCGAGTGTATTTTTGACTTCCTCAATACGGATAGGGAAAGGTGGTGGCTCTTCGCCTTGTGGCTTAAATTGGGACTTGTCAAACCGCTTTTGTGGGCGTCCCTCCATGGTTGCTGCAGGTGCAGGCCTGCGGTTGGAAGGTTTTGGAACTTCAAACTTAGGAGCATTATACTTCGGAGGCTCATACTTAGCAACGACTGGCTTGAGATCACTGAGATTCCGGGTTGCGATTTTGAGCTCGCCAAAGTTAGCCATTCTTAGGTTGACAACTAATGAACTTAATTTGCAACATGCCCGGGATGCAAATATCAACTAAGTCCATTTCATTACTACTTTTGAAGCATTCACCTACACGATCACTGAATCGGTTGATAAAGGCAACGATGTCCTCGTTGTCTTCTTGAGCCTCTTTTGTGAGAGACAAGGTGGTGACATGCCCTTCAGCCTAGAAAAACTTGGTGAGGAAATGATCTTTCAGCTGTTCCCAGGTGTTGATGGAGTTTGGCTCGAGGTTGAAATACCAATGATATACCCGATTAGTTAAGGACTTGGAGAACTCACGTAAACGAATGGTGGTGGTTTAGCCGCGGTTCACCCAAAGTTTACAAAGAGATGGACTATGATGAGTGTGGCCAAGTTTTACATTTATAATTTGCCACTACTATCTTTCACTAAAAATATAGTTAGGGCGAGTAGGGATCGTCCCAAGGGATTGGTGGGTCATATTATGTTGTGGAATTTAGATTAGGGTTAGTAGGTCAAGTGATCAAAAGATTGATTGGTGATTGAATTATACTAAGATGCAATTTAAACTAAAGTAAACAATTAAATGCAATAGAGAGAAACTAAGAGAGAGAGAGATCTTGGGGTTTAGAGATCACCACTAAGCATAACTTTTTTACACCCTTAATGAATGATTAATGAGGGAGAAAACATGTATTACAACCATTGTGTGTGTGTGTGGTTGTTTCAACAAGTATGGATGACTAATTAAGTATATATTGTCTAAGCAACGTGGTGGATAGTACAATATATCAAACTAAGCCATTAATCCTTTCTTTAAACTCAAAATCCAAACACATCATAAGGTTAGAGACATATGTTACTTGTTTTCATAAGTATGGAACATCAAACAACAAGCATGGATTGTCCTCCCATTTAAAATCTAAACTATAACTACACTACAATTAAGCTAATGACATGAAATTAAACTAATTAAACTAAGGGAGAGGCACAATCCATCAAGAAATGAGTATGAACCATCAAATAAATCACAAGAGCATTCTATTAAGCACTATGTCTTGACAATCTCTAGATCTTTAGCATCAATACACATATACAAGCATCAATAACACAAAATCTAGAGACAAATGCATGAACATCTATTCTAGCATACATAGACATATGGATATAATGAAATGATCAATTAGAAGCATTAAACCACACAAATCATTGAATAAACAAGATCTATGTATATAAAAGTGTCAAAATATGTATTATAACACAAATCCCCTTAAAAATACATAAATCAAGATGTAGAAAGCATGCTTAGGGCTAACTCTAGCCCCAAGAGGATGTCTAGCCACTCATGAATGGTGTCCTCCAACCCTCAAGGGCTAACTCCATTGTAGAAATTGCTCCTCTTCTTGGTTGACGGAAGAACTCCAAGTTTATGTCTCTAACCTCCTCTCTTCTTTTCTTCCTCACTAAGAATATGATATATCAATTGTGTCCAAAGTCTTTTTTCAAGTATATATTTATAAAGAATGGCTCATATTCCTTATATAAGTAGGTTAAAATGTCACCCCCAATAACCTGGGCTCGTACACCAATATATCTCCCAATGATTGGATATGAGACAACTTTTAATGAGCTGGAAATTGAATTTTCTCGCACTTGGGGAAGTTCGATCGATTAAACATTCTCTGAGATCGATCAAACATGGCTGAGATCTATCGAACTTAAGCTGGATCGATCCTCTATGGCAGCGCCTTTTTAGATAAAGACAAATCTGAGATATTTTGGTATTTTTGGGAAAGAGACAAAAGTAGTAGGTGTGGTGGTACAACTGGATAAGATGGAATCTTTTCGATCGATCGAAAGAAAGCTGGATATGCCGAACTTTGTGGGATCTTTGGATAAGAACAAAATAGTTCAGATCAATCTTGAAGTGCTGAAATCGATCAAAGTTGGATTGATCGAATATTTCCTAAGATGGAACGAACTTGCTGAATTTTCACCACTTGCTTCCTTTTGCTCCCTTCTTTGATTCATCAGAAGATTGCTTCAATTATGCTCTTATTTAATGAGTTAGCTTTTTTTGGGGATAAGTACCTAAAAAGGGCAATAACACTAAAGTAGTCTAAAACGGGAAAGTAAAATAGATAAAGGTTCTAGAATACTTAAGCTTAAGGGGTTTAAATGCGCACTTTTTGTAATACCCCTGATTTCAAAATGATAGTCCTGGTATTTATTAAATTGCATTTATTTTTATTTAATTGTTTATTTTTTCTTTTTTATTTAACTGACCTTTTGTTTCTATTTGTATTAATTGTTGACGTGATCATGTGTTAATTGTAATTGTTTTCATTGTGGTGATTTAATGGTCTTTAATTATTTACTTGTTTTAATTGAATTGATTTAATTATAGATAATTATTTGACTGAT